ATCCTGCTTTCGCATCTATAAATGGAGGAGGGCACTGCAGCCCCCTGTCCACACAAACAGGAGCTTTCACTGTTGAGGAGAGCCAGGTTAGGGACCCCCCCCCCCCCCCAGAGTCCCTGTTTTCGTGTACACACCTGCAGAGGCGAAAGGGGCATGGGAAGGCGGCGTGAAGACACAGGCCCACACTTACATGTCTTGCTCAACCTGCTGGGTTCTCTGCTGATGGATGAAATCCGCCAGGGCAGGTGGGACATCCAAGTCTTCAGGACGATCCTGTGGGCGCTCCCGCCTCTCTTTGGAAAGTGCTAGATAGCCAAGCAGTGACAAAAACACCATCACAAAAGCCACCCACACACATCTTTTCTGGTTCTGGGCCGCTCTGAGGAAAGGACGGTCCGAGAGCAGCCTGTTCCCTTGACTTGATGTCGCCCCAGGCTGACGGGATGCCGAGAAGGCAGGCAGACTTCACCCGACTTACCCTGAGGGAGGGCCTTTTGAGCATTGGGCTTGATGAAGATTTTGGGGAGAAACGGGGTGTTGGAATTGTCGATCTTCTCTCGAAACTTGAGCTGAGGCCGGAGGATGTTTTTTGCGTGAAGCAGCCGGAAAGTTTCAGATTTTGTTTTTTTGCTATATTCTCCTGCCTGTGGTCCAAGCACGACATTATTTTATAACACAGTGATAAGTTACTATAGAAAACTCAACCCCAACTCATGGGGCTGGTTTCCCAGGAAGACAGCACAATTCACCGAAGAATCTGTGTGTGGCATGTGAGGCTGGGGGTGTTACAGCACAAGAAAGGGTGTTGGAGGTTGTCAGAACAAGTTTATGATACAAACCAAAGAGGGCAGTGGCTGGCTCTGTACACAATAAATCAGGACAGAAGTTTAAATTAAAGCGTGTGGAAGCCCTGCTATAAAGGTGCCACGAAGACAAGCAGCCCTCACCTTCCGGTTCCAGCTGGACACGATGGTTTTGGGGACCTGCAGTCCTGCGGGGAGGACAGGCTGTTGATTCTTGTTCACGCCCGATGCTTCATCCAGTAGGATGCCCTACGGGTGGCAGACGGTACAAAGTGAAGGGGTCCCAAGTGTTCTTCATTAGACCCACTGCCATCGAGCCGGTTCTGGCTCCGAGGGGCTTTCCCAGGTGGTACAACGTCCCGGGAGCAGGGTCTCATCTTCCTCCTGCAGAGATGCTGGTGGGCTTGAACTGCTGACCAGGTGGTTACAAGTCTAACGCTTACTGGAAAGTGCCACAAGGGCCAATGCTAATTACCTACAAATTTTAAGAAGTATATTCCAGCAATTATCTGTAAGAGGACATGTACGTAGGCAAGAATATAAAAATCAGTAAGGCATGCATAATGAAGAAGCGATGCCAAGTTCTTAAAAAATTCTTTGCTTAAAGCAGGCCTGTAACTGTTCACTCCCAAACCTTCATTTTATTCTCTCCATCTCTGAACAGGGTCGAAACTGCCAATGATTCAAGTGTGCTGTGGGCACTGAGTTTTGGTAAAGCCGCTAGAGTAGACAGACAGTCTCCAGAAGGAGGATGCCTGTGAGGATGCTGAGCTCCCTCACGTTGTCCAAGTGCGTGTGGTACCACGGCACACACCGGGTAGTGTGACAGAACGGAGTATGAGAAACCACGGAAAGGTATGGGGACAGTTAGACTAAGGAAGCGACCTCCTGGGAGGTTACACGGGGATTTAACTCTCTCCAGGACTGTCACGTGGTGGAGGGCTCAGCTTGGGCGATCTCTGTGTTCTGCAAACGGTACACAGATAACAAGCTGGAGCAAAGGCTCTCCACCTCCGTCCAGCCTGGAGACCGCACTCATTCCAGCCACAGCCGACATGAACTGACTGAGACAGAGGTGGTAACAACGGGCTTCCATGGGGCAGCTTCGATGTCAAAATTGAAATTCATTTTACTGTTGAGAAGGAACATAATATTTGAAGACAACTGTATACTTCTCTTTGGGAAAAAAGAAACCAACCATCAAAGAAAGGGAGTCTTAGAACCAGTAAGAAATGCTTACTGTAGTGCCTTGTTTTCTAAGGTGCCGGGGTTTCTATGTCAACAGCACATCTGTCTACTGTTCTGAGTAAGAGAAAGCACTCACCACTCTTTCCAGAATAGCATCATTGGCATCGACGACTAAGTCAAACTTGTCTTCCACCTCAGTCACTTTATTTCGATCCTTGATGTTGCTGCGACACCCATGGTACTGCATCACCTTGCTCATGCTGAGGACCAGGATACCAAGGTGTTAGTGTGTGCGCACGGAGTCACCTGTCCATCCCTACAGACACACACACATGCGCACGTGTGTATGGTGCAACCGAACCACTAACATCATACGCCTGTATTTCAAAGATGCAACCGCCACTACTCAGTCCCCAAATTCTAACATCACCCAAACCGAAATTCTGTGTCCCTTAAACAGTAATTCCTCATTCTTCTCCCTGGTCACCACTCGACTACTTTCTTCTCAATGTATCTGGAGTGGAGATAAGTGGCGTGACGTGGTAATTTGCCCTTTTGTGTCTGGCTTCTTTGCATAGCAAATATTTCCAAGGTGCACCTGTGGTGTGGCATGTTCCAGAACTTCCTCTCGCGTTACCAGTGGTGCCTGTCCTATTGCATGGGGGTATACCTTATCTGCATATGGCTACTGGGGTTGCCTCTACCTTGGGCTCCTGTGGATATGCAACGAACATTAATGTAGAAGTAGCTGTTTGAGGCCCTGTATTCAAGTGTTTAGGGTTTATTTCTAGGACTGGAATCACCGGGCCACTAGTAATTTCTCCTTTCCCCTTACTTATTCAGTCTGTGGGCTAGGCAAGTAACCCAAGCAACTGGGCTACACGGAGGAGAATTTAGCATCAGGATCGGAGGAAGCCTCATTAACAGCGTGTGGTAAGCAGATGACACAGCCTGGCTGGCTGAAACTGGAGAGGACTTCTGTCTTGAGCACGGATGGCACTCAGTGTGAAGACAGGCTCCCCACAACGGGGCCATCATACAACATCATAGTAAATGGAGAAGAGATGGAGGTTAACAAGGATTCAATTTTACTGGGACCCACAATCAGTGCCCATGGAAGCCCTCGGTCCAGGCACAAGTACGCAGGTATGCTCAATAGGGATGGGCAGTCCTACAGGGCCCACACGAATGGCACACGGGCAAATAACATACCTACAATTTACACTGTACATCATATGCAGAGGAAACTAATGCCAGGGTTGTGTGGTCTGCCCTCTAATCTGCACAATGTGAATGCTGTTTGCGTAAAACTATGTTTCATCCAAAGGCACATGAGGCGATTTCAAGTTTGTGGAAAAGTGGAATGAAAGGTAAATTGGGCCGGGGGATGGAGAGCTAATAGCAATGAGCATGAGAACAAAATGTTCAAAATTGATTGCTGATGGCTGCAGACATCTCAGTATGATAGAGTGCTCACATTGTATGATATGATAAGTATATGCCAATAAAACTATTAAAAAATGGAATTTTTCCATAAACTTTTTGAAGCCTTTTATATACAGGCGTGGCTGTGTCTACGTCTGCATGCATTCCTATGTGTTACATGTATATTCTTAGGGGGCACAGTTATGGAAACTTCTTAGACATAAGCAAACACCTCACAGGACTGACCTACTGAGCTTGCAGGCTAAGGACCATCGTCCTCGGTCATAATGGTCATATGGTCATAGCTACGTCAATTAGCATAATGAAGGACCTACATATCCTCGTCTGGTGAGTAGCATCTGGGACCCTAAGAGCTTAAGAGTAACAATCTAAGATGCAACTATTGGTCCCCCTTCCCATCTGCAGCAAAGGACAAGGAAGGAAACGCAAGAGTCAAGGAAGCACTTAGCCCACAGGTCTAATGGCCCCGCTGAACCCCAGGCTCCTCTGACCC